TGAATTATCAGCTCAAACTTAAATCATGATTCCTTTACTGCACAAACTGAATACTTCCCACAGGGTGATTTTGGCATCTCTCTTCTCCCCATGCATCCCTACAGCATGCTGGAACTACAAAAGGAGACTGCTACATTATCCAATACATGAAACTGGTGGTTCCTTTGGTAGCTCTGAGCATTTATGGTAAAATACCAGTGAGAGTTTCTTCCCACCAGTCAGGCAAACTGCTGTGGGGAGTGACTCAGCTGGGACATAGTCCAGAAGGCAACAGGAGATGAGGGGCCCCAATGGCACTTTTCCAGTCTTAATCAGCACTGTCTGCATGGTGATAGAGACTGATAAGCTGCCAGAAGTAATTTCTTGCTATAAAACTTGAAACAGTGGTCCAGAACAGTTGTGATCTGTGTGTGCGTGTATTTGGTTGGGTTTTTAAAATGCAGAATCAAGGGCTGTAATTTCCCATGGCGGCCAACAAACAATTTTGATAGTTTCATTTTAATCTCCTATAAGTATCCATTTCTCCTCCTTCAACCTTACCCAATTTCCACTCCACTAGGTATTATTTTTTCCAAACAAATCAGACATGCTTGTCTATAATAGCACATTTATCAACAGGGAGGGCTGTGATAGAGCGAAACTATCCCTACTGCACAGAGCATAAGACATTTGGGAATCCTTTCTAATAAAAAGGGATTTGATTAAAGACAGCCAACTACCACAGATCAGCAACTTAATCATCAGTAAAGAAGGAAGAGCAGCTTAGACTCAAAAGACTTTAATTTGCTGATCTGCCAAGGACTTCCCAGGAGTAGTCACTCCACAAGTTACTCCAGAATCTGCAAGGGGGTTGGAGGGGACATACACCAAGGATTAGGGTGCTTAGACCTATTATAGTAGTTTGATCTTAACAAAAGTTAGGCAGAATACCCAACATGCACGTTTAACTTCTAAAAATTCACAAGAATTTAAAAAAAATTATTATGCCTAGTGATATTTCCATACTTAAGCATTGCCTTGCCAATGGCAGCTAGAGGATTTCCCAGCAACTGGTTGTGCTGCTGTGGTAAGCCCTGGAAAGACAAAGCTGCCAGCTGTGATCTGGCTGCTTCCAAGCATCTCCAGCATGCTGCTCCTGGCTCCCACCACACTCCTAGGCGGACAGTGTGATCCATGCCCTGCTGCCAGCTGTGAGTGCTTGGGTGAGCAACCCCTGCCTAGAACTGTTCCCCGAACTCTGAAATTACTTTCAGTGGTTTGCACCTGGGAAGCTGCAGAGAGGTGCAGTAAGCACAGACTGGATGGAAGTGCTGGCTGCCCAGCTCCTCAGCTCAGCTCACTGGGTCTGCCAGACAGAATTTCCAGAGCAAAGAGACAACTTGAGTGACTACTACTCTTCTTCCTACCCAAGGAACCTTCACCCTGCCCACTTCTGGGCAGATTCTGCTGACTACAGAACCAAGATGGCTTGATTGAAAACCAGAGATACTGTGAATGAACTTGCAGAAGGAAGTTGGTTACACAGAAGATCCCAGAGTGTGGGCAGATCAAGTAAAATGACCTTTCTCTAGCCTGACAGTTCAAATGTAATTATTCCAACAAATTATTTTCATGACTTAATATAACGCCTTGCAGCTTTCTAGCAAGGTTAATTAGATTCTTCAATTCAAAACCTATCTGCTCTTAACCAACTTTTAATATGCTGAAATCCAGTTTTCTAAATTCAAACTAATAAAAGTGATTAGCTGACAGCTATCTGGTATGCTACAATTACCATGGCATTTAGACCTCAGGCATAAGATATTTAATGCAAATCAGAGTCAATGTCTCTGCCCATTTGTCCTTTTTCAGATTACTTGATCAATGTGCCATATGAATCCTGTACAGTCCACACTACCATGCTAAACAACTAAAGAACAAGGGCAGAGATATTGGTTGAGACAGTTAACCAAAGTTGAAAGACTCTTTTTCCCTCCCACACTTAATTTGTTCTTTCCACATGAGCATGAAGTTACTGAAGGCACTGGCTGACAGCTCAAGTAGAGATGAGTATTTAGTTCTGACATAGCCAGAATTAGCACAAAACTCCCGGCCTGCACTGCCATATCAGAGAGCTTCATCCACTGTGACTCCAGAGACCCAGGGAGGAGCTTGGGCTGGAGCAAAGCTAGGAAGATGAGAGCAGCTTACCTCTTTCACTGATGCCTTAAGTTTTAGCTTGCATATTTTTTTGATTCTGTGCTGCCCTAGTGTGTGACTCTGAACTTCATATTAAGTGTTAGCAAGTTCCCTTCACAGTTTAGTTGGACAAAAAAATTCTTTCCCAGCCTGAGAACCAAGGACACTGCTGTCAAGAAGTATAAACAACAGTGAATTGAGGAGAGCAATCTGGGAGGATGGGACTTCATAACCTGAAGCTTTAATTGGACAATTGACCTCAATATGAAAATGAACCAAAACTTATAAAAGTGTGAAAACTTGTGACTGGTCATCCATCTTGCATCCATCTTGGGTCCATCTTGGGCAGAGCCATAGCTGGCCTCTGGTACTGCCCAAGGTGTATACTTTGAAGGCCTTTTAATAAACACCTACTTTATTCCTTTAACTCTGTCTAGCCTCTGTTCCAGGTCAGCCTCTTCAGGCATCAACTGTACCTAAGCATATGAAGCAGTGCCCCAGCATTCTGTGTTTTGTTAGATAGAAATGCTCCTAGAAGACTGTATGGGGCACAGCATGCTAGGGAGCTGAGGAGATGTCCAGCCCAAGACATAGTTCTTTGGCACATCAGGAATGCCAAGGCTGGACATCACCTCAGAGATGAACTTCAGTGGCACACAGAAGATCAATCAGGTGAGGTTGGTAATTACACATGACCTGCCTAGAGTAGGACTAAGGTTGTTTGTTTTCTCCACCATGCATCATGCATGATTATTCCACCTTTGATTATGCTACTGTTTATATGAATAACACTGGCAAAACTTCTAAGTGCTCTGAAGCCCCCTTTCCATTTTCTCATCTCCTGCTGAATTAAGAGCTAATGGCATGGCATTGGTCTGACATTGGTCTGATCTGATAGCCAAATTGATGACCTGAGAGACTTTATGTTCCCACTCTTTCAGCTATGCATCCCTTTTGGATGAAGAAACTTTGATGTACCACCCTCTTGAACAGAGCAGAGCAATCTTAGTCATACAATATTAGTCTGCAAAATCTGAGCTTTGCAGCTTCATAAATACAAGTGGTAAACAAAACTAAAACTTCACTTCAGGAAGCAATTTTCGAGCTGTGAGGAAAATTAATCACTAGAACAGCTTATCAGGGTAGGTGGTTGACTCACCATTGCTTGAAGTTTTTAAGATAAGATTAGATCTTTTTTTTTTTTAAGTCATGATTCAATCATGTTCCTGGGAGAAACTGAGAGGAGGACATTAGGCAGTATAATGGCAAGGTTCTTTCTGACCTTGAGCCAGCGAATCTTCTTTGTTTATCTGCCTACTTTCTTGGGCAAAAAGGAAAACGGAATGGGCTTTGGTCCATCAACCAACTCCTGCCACACAGTTCTGCTTTAAGAAAATTGCTGTAATCAGATCTCATGCTTCAGGGCTTCAGCCATTTGCCTGAAGAGGGTAGGAAAAAAGTTTCCCTCTCTTTCCTGCCCAGCTAATGACTAAATACATGTTATGTTTATTTGGTCGTAGTTTCATGTTTAAAACATCAGAGAGTGAACCCAAATGGCTATGGACAAAGTCAAAGGCAGAAACACAGAAAATGCTCCCTGGCTATTTTCTATTCAGTTAGCCATTCCTGCTCACACCTCAGATCTGTGATAATCATCAATTCTGAGGACTATCAGTGTTTACAGAGAAGACATTTTGGTTATTAGGATGCAGCCACAGACGGTAGAAGGTACTCATAGAGAATTGGGACTGATACTAACCCCACCTACAAGGGCAATACTTGTTTGATGAGAACATCTTAATCTTCTCATATTATCAGATCTTTTGCCACTGTAAGATCCTTGCTTGTTAGTGAAACTGTGGTCCCACCCACTCTCTGATTAAACCAGATCACGAAAGTTTCTTTAAGCCAGAAATGTGTCGGTCCAACCAAACTCTATAGCAAATAGATCTGGGGGCAATCTAAATTAATTTTTAAGAAATGTTGAAATAAAGGAATATAAAGAACACAAAATGAATGGCCTGCCCCAGTCTTTAACTCTACAAACTACAGCAGTTTTTTTCATAATAACATTATTGCCCAAGCCTGTAAGAAACAAAGCACACAGGCAGATCCATTGATCTCATCATAATCAAGTGTCCAAGACTTTGATTTCAATGCAGAGTTCAGAGGTCTTACCACCTATGTTTCATGTAAAGGCAAGATATAATTCTACACCTATAGGTGCCTAAGATAATTATACTCTATACCACTTCAGAAGGAAATTAGATGCATACCTTTTTCCAGGTAAGGAAGATGACACCGTTATGAACCAATCAGTCCAGATTTGTCTTACTTGTATTTGTTGGACCCAATTCTGGGTCCCCATGTATAACCAACCTGATTGACTCAAAATGGATTTCCTTTTAATCTGTGCCAGCACACAGAAAATGAAAATCCATGCCTTGGAAGCAGAACACATTTACACTGCCAGATTTTTTTGCAGCTGCAATGAGAAGGGATGGGGCAGGCAGGCACGACAGCGACCGCACCTGAATTCAGACTGGTAGCCTGGAAGCAGGGGACAGATGGTGTGAAAATGAACCAGACACTGAAAAATTCAACTTTATATCCAGTAAGACTATAAACATACAGTGAGTGAGCATGAGATTTATGCTGAAATTACAGAGGAATTCCTATGGATGATTACACTTCCAGCCCAAGCATGGAAAGCACATCCATCAAAACGAGTGTCACTATATTACCAGTGCAGTTGTCAGACCTCCCATTACTGAACCCAGTAAATACAGAAGAGGACCACGAACACTTGTGACATGGCTCACCAAAGTACTCATCAGACGGAGGATTCTCCATGTCATACAGCATTTTCTTGGTCAGATGTTCCAGCTCATCCTCAGGCCTGAAGGCAGGAGTGCTTGATGTAGGTCCAGAGCTTGGATACCCACTCTGAAAAGAAAAAAAAGAACAGCCTGTGATGTGGTATAAAAGCATTCACACAGTAAGGGGCTATATTGGCTGCTCAGTGTTGAACTTCATTCTTCATTTAGTGTTGAATTTTTTTTAAGACACAAGGGATTCAAGCAAGTAAACACCTTACTTAATGTAATGAAAATGGACTCTGAAGAACATCCAATGAAGTACTATATATCCTCCTAGAATGGGAAATATCCTGTGCCTCATAATTAGATGTCTACTGGGTAGCACATAATAATAAAAAAGCAGATTATTTCAAGAATAACTTGATACAAATGTTCTCCAAAACTGAAAAAGGCTTTGGAAGCATTTAAGTTCAGACTTGGTAAAAGTTCCCATCACTTAACAACACAACATAAATGATAATTCTCCCGTGGTAGAGTACACGGACAAAGACAGATGATCCCAAGGTGCTAGTTATGTTCTCTTCTTGTTTGTTTTGACACAAATCCTGCTGTAAACTTTAGTGAGATCAGGAGCTGGTCCACAGATTTTTAGTACTAGAGATACAAAGGTTTTAATATGTGTGTAGAACCCAAGATCTCTTGACCTTCATAAGCTAACAGCCGCATACAGTATTTGCAGCCTGTCTAAGAGAGTCTTCTCCCTGGAAAACACCAGAAGTATGGCATATTTTGAGAAGCACAGAAATAGTCTTGTGCCTCGAAGTTTCTTAGAAGAAGTTAAGTTTGGTGTCCATAAGGAGGAACTCAGTCATCTCAGGATTAAAAAATGCTGACACCAGCTCTTCTTGTGTGCACGGCTTTCTTGAAAGACTTGCATGTGAAAACTAATTTATTTATAAAACACATAATTTCAGTAAAGCGAGTGATTTTATTGATTAATTGCTGCCTACATCAAGGACTGGACCTTTGATATGAAACAAGGAAACATTTTTCCATGCTCCATAACTACTTAGATGGCAAGAAAATGTAAAATCACTGCAGAAACAATACATTGACCACTTCCAGGGACTACGTCTGACATGATGAATCTTTATTGAGCCAGTGATGTTCAACAGAGAACAGCAGCTTTAAAGCACTGCACTTCAAGAGAATTAACTATATACTTCCATGCATTTTTCTTTCAGGCAAGAAGGAGATTTCAAATGAGACATCAATCTATGCAGACGAGGTCTCAGAACGGCACTTTGTGATAATACTTCAATCACCCACTTCCAAAACCCAAACAGCTGCATGTTCCTGACCTCATCATAATTCCTTTTCTAGGGTCCATGCTAAGCTGCACCATCACCCTCCTCCCTCACTTGCTGGCCTCAGCAGGAGGCTGTGCTCCCTGGAAGGGCTGGATTTGCTGTGCACACATGCTCAATGCAGCAGCTGCACCCACTGCCTGCCCAAAACCCACTCTGCAGCAGAGTAGCAGCAGTTCACGATGGAGAGGGGTGGCATGGTCCCCTAGGAAAAAAAGCGTACCTGGAATAAGCCCCAGGCTGGATGGATTTCCCTGAAGGGCTGTGCAAGGTCTGTTTGCCACACATTCAGACTCCCTGACTGAGAACATAGATTGGACCTAACATACATTCAGATTTTCCCACACATTTTCTTTTTCTCTGCTTATGATTTTTTTTTCTGAACAACATTTAAGGATTTTGTGCATTTCTCCAGGAATTCTAGTTGCCTAGCAGTTGTCTTGAGCATCTGGAAATGCTGAACATCCACATACAGAGCAGTAAAGTTTTTTGTACAAATGCAACCATACTGATGTGTTTGGGTTACCACAACTTACTTTTGCACGTGGGGGGGCAGGCAGTATGGTGACCTGCCTTTGCCCTCTAAGTCATGTAAGTGTCATCTCTGTGGGATACATCATTTTGGTGTGGATAAGGCCATTCACATGACTAGAAGTTCTAGAAGCAGGTATTTGACCCAGAACACCCAGACTCCCTTGGCCAGAGCTTTGTGGCTTTTTCAGAAGGGCTAGTCTACAATGACTTTATTAGAAATAATATATAGCATAATCCTAAAAAAAGTTTATTAGTAAGTCAATAAAGTTGTCAAATGTAAGACATTTAACCTTGGAACAACCTGGTTTTTTCCCTTTGCTCTCTTGTTCTTGAGAACCAATCACGAATCTTTCCTGAACATATATTTTAACACAGCAAGTGCAGCCAGGATTTATTAGCTTGAGAAATCAATCCAAGCTTCTAAAGGTTCTATTCCAGGTATTGTACCTATTTCATTCAGTTTCCATGCAGAAAAGAAAGACCTCTGCCATTCCATCAACAGAGACTCCTTTCCTAGACTTTGCATGGAGAAGACAGCATAGTCTGAAGCTGATGATGGCCCCCATCCCTGTATTTCCCATTAGTCATCACCATCCTTTTCTGCTGGGCTCTGTCCACACACCATTTGAAACACTGCCTTTACCCTTGAGCCCTGTAATAGATATGGACAAAAACAGAAGGCACAAGCCACAGTCTGTTCACAGAAAAGGGCAGTGAGATACATGGAGCCGAAGCGATTTGTTCAGTATCACACATGGGCTCTAAGGCAAAGACAAATCCTGCATCCGGGCTGCTGGGAGCCCTGCACTTTCCAGCCTCACTCACTGGGGCTCTACCTGCCGTTGCAGACCTACACTGAACACTCTGCAACCCAAAGCCACTGCACCTGCAGGCCAGCACAGCCAGGCTTTGGCACAAGGTGGGTGAAGCTTCTCCCTCATTTCCATGCTGCCTTCCCATAACTCCCAACTGGGGAGCCCTCCATAACTAATTCATAAGGGCTTGGATTAGGCCCTTTAAAATTAAAGACCAAAATCTGCAGATTTTCAGTTTTGTCTGACTCTCTCTGGTTTTGGAGGCCACACTGCCTCATACATACAATAAATAGGCTGCTCTCCTATTTTATCTACATTGCACTTTTCCAAACCAGGCAGATTTCCTATCCAGTACCCAATGTCAGCAGAAATAACAAATACCAACCACAATGTTACGAGACACTTGGACTTATTTTGACTAAAATGCTATGCCTTTTCGACCAGCCTTTAAGGAGTGCTAGGCACATCTTTTTCCTCCTCCCATGGCACATGCTGACTATGTGCCTCCAGGAAAATGCATTTCATGAATATGAACATGCTGTTTGCTGGGACACGCACACACACACAAACATAGAGAGGAAAGTGTATCCTTAGTCCAATATAAAATACTTGTTTCAGCAAAACAGTTTCCTTCCTCCTCCTTTGTTATGTCAGGGTAAAAATATAACTCTGGCTTGCCTTACAAAACAGAGTTGTGGTGTTGTTGTTTATATTAAACTTCCTCTATTTTCTCCTGATCTGTACAATAATCAAGGCTGTCTAGAAATTCAATTTGCTGTCTGATCTACCAGTTAACTAACTTCATGCATTTTCTTTTCCCCATGCACATACCTCAGAGCACACAAATATCCACATCCTTAGCTAGACACAGCTCAAAGAAAGGGACTGCATTGACTTGCAGACCCAAGGCACCACTCTGTCTGGCTAACCACAGAAGCATCAGGGATGATAAACTGATCCACAAAAATGGAAAAGAGCCCAGTAAAAAGCTGGCAGGAGGAACTATGCTTTGGAAGCACAGGCACCTGTGCTACTGAGATCAAACACCAAGCAACTTCAGGGAAGAGAAGACTGCAGGAGCAAGCTCAGGAAGAAAAGAGGATTGCATAGCATGTGCAGATGCAAAAACATTCCTAAATAAACACTGTCCTGCATACTTAGTTGGGATGTTAAGGAAAACACAAGCACTTCCAGGGTTAAGCCCTGTAGCAGAAAGTATCTTCATGCTACAAAGGAAGTGAGCTAATTGCTTGTGCCACTATCAAAATGCTGCACCAACATCTGGCTCATCTTCCTTATTAAAGTTCAGTTCCTGAAAAGCCAGGTCAAAAGAAGCAGTCGTGTGGAATCACTGCATAATTATTTTGGTACACAACGCTGATACTTGCTTCAGTGCTTCCCTGGCACATGTTTTCTACTCCAGACCTGTCTCAGATGTAAGGGCTGCCCAGAAAAGGGAGCTCTGCAGTCAGTGTGGTGCATTTGCCAACAAGAACCTTCCCCATCCCCACATAAATATTTACCCATATGGGTAAAAACTGCAGTGCAGAATCTGCAAAGCCATCTGAAGATGATGCTGTGATGAATGCACCATCATTCAGAATACACTGTATGTGGTCATTTTTCTTGTCCATTTGCAAACATTGTATAAGAAGCTTCTTCTCTCTGGGAGAAAATAACTTCAATTACGTGTTCCCAGTTACAGAAACGTGGAAATTATCTTCTTTTCAGAAGGTAGAATTAGCTGAATTTGGAATTGAAAAGCAGCCAGAAACATCTTTCACTGATAGCTACTTTCTCTTCACTTTTTTCCTCCTGTTTCAACTGCATGAAGTTAGTCCTTTCATTTCACTCACCAAAACTAATAGTCAGTTAAATAGTATTGCAGCATAATTTTTTGTTCAATGGTTTGACAAAGACTACATTTTTAAAGAATTTATTGACTATCCAAAGCCATCACAAACTTTCAGAGCAAGAAATCCAGCATAGTGCCACATCTCTCATGAGTTGTGCTCCCAAGGAAGTATCAAGACTGCCTACAGCTGTAATTCAGTTTATAATTAAGGCCAACTCTTACAGAAAAGATGTATTAGAAAAAATATTTTAATTCTTGATTTATTTTTCCAGTGAAAGGTTACAGCTGCCAGAGTACATAAAGATTCCTGAAAAGAGGATTCTGCCTGGAATCCTTGCAGCATGCACATTCCTGGGTTTATTCCTGGTCAGAGGATAACTCATCAAGATCCTCTGAAGAAACTGCCCTGCATGAGGAGATATCCACTGACAGCCAGTGCCCTCCAGCCCACACCAGCAGACCAAAATTTCAAGTGTTGGGCTGCCAGGAGAGAGGGCTCTTCTGGGCCATGCCAGAGTGGAACAAGCCACGGGTTCCCTGGCTGCCTACCTGCCCT